TCTGCTCTAGAGTATGTTTGTGTGGGACAATGCGGCCCGTGGGACATGTAAATGCAATGTCGACGCGTGAACTGTCAACGGGGGGTGGAGAGACACTATGGACGCTCGTGAACTGTCAGCGGGCGGGGGTACACTGTGAACCTCTGTCGCTGTCAGCGCAACTTACATAATGCCGTTTAAAACCATAGACTGTATATATAAAGTTTAAAACATATAATGATAAAGGGCGGTGCCGGCCGTCAGCGAACCGAGCCGGCCTTTCTCCGCATCTGATTCATGTCATAAATCAGATTTTAGAAAAGCGTTTTAGCCAATCAAAATGAAATATGCGGGACATCGTCTCAATTTGCGGGACGCACCAAAAGTCGTGAAAATGCTGTGCAATACCGCACAAAGCGGGACATCTGGTCAACCAGACGGCTGAGTTGACCGCAGTGCAGAATCGCTGTATAGTTGAAATCTCCTAACAATGTTGTCCATTTTAGAAATAGGCCTATTATATTTACAGCCCTTTATAACATTCATTTTCTGGGCTCAAAGTGTGTCTTGGCCGTTTTCATTGTGATCGCTAAATTCCCCTTGTTTATAATAATCACAGTTCCTTCAACAGGATACTGTAGTGATTCAAAGTGTGATTTTAGCATAGCCTACGAGTGCTTTTGTTTTGAAATCACTTCCGTGAGTTTCGTCTGCGCTCTTATTTTGTAAGGTAACTTCCGGTAGCAGAATATGAAAAAACGGGGGTTTTTTTTGTTTCTGTTTTCTAGTGATTTTATTTTTTGTTTTGAGAAGTAGAAAATGAAAATCATCCCGTTTTTTAAGTTTAGTAAATCCCTTTTTGACCGTGATAAAGAAAAACGCCTTGTATTTCAATTTTGGTTTTTCAATTTGAAAACGAAAATCAAATATCCAGTCGTTTTTGTTTTTGAATTTCCATTTGTGAAAAGAAAATCCAATGACCAAAACATACACTCACCCCCTACAGACTTAAGGAGATCAACACTGCAGTCGTTGTAAATGATGTGTAGAAATGCTTTTATTCCTAAAGATCACTGCTTCAAAACTATTACTTTGAATACTGTATATATTGATGCATCTGTAGTTAATGTCCTACCAGCAAGTAAAAGGTGACGAAGATAGGGCTGGAGGTGAGTCGAATTTTTGCCCTGGCTGAGGGCAGCTTCCACATCAGGAACACAAAGAAGGCCACATTAGGCACCAGCAGTAAGATGTCCCAGAACCGCACCCTGTGAGGAAGAGACACATGTGAGGGGATGACACATAACTTCTGAAAATATATTTCATCTGTAGTAGATATGAGTTGTCAGTCAGATATGTATCTCAAAGTTAAGTCATTGAGTCACAGATACATTCAGATGCAAGGTATGTTTTACTTAGTCTTTGTTAGATTTTAACCATTTCTTCTGAAGTATGCGACTGAATACCTGGAGTCTCCAACGTCCTGATACAGAACTTGTAGACATTTGTGAGGCTTGGAGATGTTGGCTTCAGAATCAGGTTGCCAAGGGAATGCAGATGTGTTCTCCAATGGTGTAGGTGAAATACTGCCATTGTATTGAGCAAACCTAACCACAGCAGTCACTGTGGCTAGCATGGTGTCGGACCCTTAGGGGGAAAAAGATGGTTATTTAAAATGTTTACTGAGACTGATAGCAGACCTTTTAAATCTCTTATTCGAAGAAAATACATTTGTTAAGGGGGATTACATCCAGGGTGCTGAATCCTTTTAAGGCAAATTATCCGTAAATGTGTGTTAAACCTAACTTGTTAAAAGAGGTGGAAAGGAACAAAGTACGTTTAATCAAGTACCATACTTAAGTATTAGGTGGGCTTAATTGTACTTTACTTGAGTATTTCCATTTTATGATCATTCTTATCAACTACATTTTGGAAGCAAATACTTTTTACTCCACTACATTTATTAAACACTCATAGTTACCAGCAACTTATTACATATAAAAACATGTGATTTCCTTGTATGATAAGATACAGTACTGCACCATCAATGTACAAAAATAATACTTCTGTACTTCTGCTTAAGTAACATTTTTCATACAATATTTTTTACTGGTAATGGAGCATTTTAAGACCATAGTAAGGATATGAGTACTTCTTCCACATCTGCTTGTTTGTAATATGAGCATAGCAAAAAACACTTGAGAAATTCAACATTTCTGCGGTTTCAGCTGGTGTTACAGAGGTTTAGTAGGAAGTGTACAACTGTTTGTTTGTTGAAGCAGCAGGAACAGCTTTGTCCACTTTGCGATACACCTTATGTAACAAGAGTTGCTGCTATATGTCAGCCATATGTGTTTTAAATTCAAAGTGTGAAATAGTTCATAATACGAGTGTGAACATGTTAGCATTAAGTTAGCATACGCAATAGTTGTAGAATTGGAATTGATACAGCAACATTAGCTTACTAGGGTAAACAACATAGCATGAGAAGGCTTCAACTCTACAGCGCTCTTTCTTGTAATTGAAACGTAAAGTGGTTAGTTACCGACCGTTAAGCATAACGTAGAAAGCCTTACTTACAGTACGTGTACTGTAAGTATGTATGTTTTATAAGATGTTCATGTTAGCTAACGGTGCTACATACTAACAGCGCTCGGAAGAGGATGTTTTGTTAGTGAATTCAAATTATTGTTTGACCTTACGTAAGAGACAAATGCAGTAAATATAACAATGCTAAAGGTGAATGTCTCTTGCAATTTAACATCAGGTACCAATGCTTTAAACCTCACGTTAGCATCACAACAAACGTAATACTAGTGCAAGTGCACTGACGCCGCTCCAATGTAACGAGGGCTTTAACTGGTTAGAAAAACACAAAATCTCACCGATTCAGTAGACTCGTCGTCAGGAGAACAACTGGTGTAAAATGTTTTCAAAATATGACTTCAGCATATGCCTTACACGCTGTCATACGCACTGCAATCGATCCATAAATTGATCACCGATACAGGACATGGCTGTACTGGATAGTTTCGTTAACAATTTTTTTTCAGTGAGGTCAGCTGACACTCTCTCCAAAGAACCGGAGAATCTCGCGAGAAGTCATTGAGAGTGACGTGTGAGTTGTTTTTTGTAAAGCTTGAGGCAGGTTGCAATATTTTAATCCAAAACGTGAGTAATTATGCATATGATGATAATATATTATGCATTTTGAGATACTTTGAATAGTAGAAAAATAACAGGTTGGAAAAAAAGAATAATAATGACAAGACAATTACATTTATTGACACACCATTTTGAGCACATTATGTTTTAGGCACAAGGCAATGAGTTATTCTGTCACATTTGTATTTTATATGCCTATGTATACTTGGGAATCAGTTATATATTATCACACAAAGCATCCAAAGTGATAGGCCTAAGTAAGTAGGTGATTAGGAAGTACCATCATAATACCTGAACAGAGAGTCTTTGTTTTCTTTCAAGACATAACTTAATAATTTAAATGTATTAGTCATACAAATGAAGTCGTAACAATGTATTTACTTCCTCTTCCTTCTATGGAGCACATTTACTAAGAATAAATGTATGATTATGAATAAATAGTGACACGGCCTTTGGGTTCCCCTGACATCATCCTGTAGGCTATGTGCACCGGTTCAGTCAGGTTAGCCTTGAATGTGTACACATGAGTCTTCCCACTGGAGGGGCTGATGTTGTAGAAACTCAGCCTGTGGGTCTTGAAACTCAGTCTGATCTCTATCTTACGTGATACAGTGGTCTTCTTCAGAGGCACGTTGTGGCCCTGCTCGAAGGCTGTCAGCAGGTTGTTGAACCACATCAGACACCAGGAGCTCCGGCTGCTTTCCAGAGCAGAGGGCAACCCGCTGCGTGCCAGCTTCCCACTGTAGCACACGCCGATGATCCACGGGGAACCTTCAAGCTCCACATCCCAGCAGTGTTCACCTTCATAGAAGCTCTGGGTGCTGAGGACCTGGAGGAAGTTAGTGAACCTCTGAGGAGAGGATGGATAGGGCTGTTTGGCAACACTATAAGACACTGTCTTCAAGTCCTCTGAGAGGACAAAGTTGGGGTGGGCTGTTTCTGGGTCAAATGTCACCTCTGAGGGGTTAAGTGTGTTTCGAATGGAGCGCTGAATCTCTCCAAATCTTTCCCTTAGCTGAGAATTCATCTCTTCAAGCTTGGGACAGGCACGTGCAGAGTTGACCTTTGACTCAATGTAGTCTTCCTCTTCTCCCACAGGCTTGGCCAATAACTCCTCAATGTGCGGTTGTAGAGTCTGAAGCTCGTCACTAAACGCAGCTTCGTCATCCTCAGTCAGAAGGGACTCTGCTCTGAGCATCGCTTGCCTCAGCTGCTTTGTCATCTCAGAAGCTTGGCTGACTCGACTGCCTACACTGGCCTCACCTGGAGCGAGCTCATCTTCTATCAGCTGGCGCACCTGTTCGCTGTATCTCTGAGATAAATCTGTTATCTGCTCTAAGAGTCTGCTTGTTTTCTCTCTCAGCTGACCATTAGCAGTGCTCACCTCTAACTCCCGCTCCTTCTCCTTCCCCAGCACTGTTTCTGCCATCTCCAACTTGAGGCTCAACTCTGTGACTTGAGATGCCATTTTGAATTTAGGTTCATCCATTTCCATCTTGCCTTTGCTATGGCCTGTGGATCTAGACCCAATAGAAAAGTCATCATTTCCCTTAGACCCTGAACTCTCCTTGGTTGTTTTTGTGTTTGATTCTTCTTTAGCATGGTCGACGTCAGGAGGATTTGCAGGGGAGTTGACTTTCCCAGCAGTGGCTTTGTAGGACTCCATGGTGCTGCACATTTTCAAGCTTTTCACAAGGGCTTTGGTTCCCTGATAGTCTGCCTGGCACTCAGGGCAGCTGTGTTGGTCAAGGCCTTCCCACATGGTCTGAAGGCAGGCAAAGCAGTAGATATGACCACAGGGAAGAGAAACTGGATCAGAGAAGAGCTGCAGGCACATGGGGCAAGTGAGCTCCAAAGTTGGAGCTTCTGGATGATCCATTTTAAAAAGGTTTGCTTCAGGTTCACTCCCAGACATGACGGCAGGACCTGGAAAAACAGATAATTCAGGGTGAGACTTCCTAATAACAGTTTTTACCAAAAACTTGATGTAATTGAACCTTCATTGCTTCTTAACGTTTTATAAGTTAAGAAAATCTGTGTAAATAGCACGGATGGGAAAGGGAAAGTAAGGACAAAAGCATATCATATTAGTTCCTCTCACTAAACAAATTATAAACACATTGTCAGTTTTACTTTTTGCATTGCATTCTATATTTTATAGCAAATCTTAACATTAATATCTAAATGGCTAAACACTAAATCTGTTGTAAAAACACGGGATTCAGTGTTATCCAGCAACACGTGTGGAAATGTTCTACAAGTATTTATTTTTAACTAAATGAGAACTTACTGGAAAATTCAGCATGCAACCCCAACTAAATTTGCACTGAAAATGAATGCATAGTCATGCTTCTTTCTTGCAGGTGTAGCCGGAAAAACAGGGGAATTAACCAACAAATCATGACACAGCACTGTAAGAAACCAAACTGTCCATGCATGCAATATATACGTTTTTAAAAGTTAGTTACAAACCAAACTGTGCACAAGCTTGACCAAAGTTTCAACGAATGTTAACGCAGTCGCAGGAAAGTGTGTCCATTAGCCAAAGGCTAAAATAGGCTACGTCTCAAATGTTTGTGCGTCGTTTGGCAGCGCGTGAGTTGTTTATCTGTTGCTTAAGTTTCGATTTCCAGCGAGCAGTATGGCCCCACGCCGCCATATACCAAGTTTAGACTCCTTCACTTGAATTACACTAACTTTATCATAATGTTTATGCTGCTGCTATGTTTGATTTCAATATATTCGGCTTTACTTCCTTGAAAAATAGTGAGCACTACGTTATTAAGCGTCACTTAAAGCGCTCAATCACATATCAAGCCAGTTCTCTATAAAACAGACTGTCCGTCATTTAAGAAGAAATAATTAAGCAGTATTAAAGACAAATGTAGAAAAACACTCACCTTTTCACACAGCGCAGTCTTCTGTCGACTCTTCCTGTTCAGGTAAGGGCCCATAAATCGCACTGACGCACAGATCAGCGGTCAAATCCGCCTTTCAGAAACATTGTGACACATGGGGTAATCCATGCTGTGTAGTCAGCCTGACTTCATGCACGTTTGTATTTGTATTTACCTACCCTTTGCCCCTAGATCTAATGACGTGTCCTCCGAATTCAGCATTATTTTACAGTTTTTTCTTCTTCTATTGCAAGTAAGTGTACTAAAAGCTATTCAGTGATAGCAATTGGAAATGTACTTGGGCCCTTTTGAAAAAAATAATACAATTAATCATACTCAATGTAATTTTCAATCATGACCAAGAAACAGGTAGTGTTGCATTTCAATTGTATTTATATATATTTGGTTTAAAATATTGATCTCCAATGCATCTCCACACAGTTTGACAATAAAATATATTTAGAATGAATAAATATAACAGTCATCCAACATAAGGCACTTTGCCAGGCTACAAACACCACTGTTCCCCTCCGAGGTCCATTTACACTTCTCTGGAATAAAAGTCTCAGTCTGACCCTCCTTCGCAATCGTCTAGTGTACAAACATTTCTAAAACTGGTAGTGCAGTCCGTGAAAAGAAGAAACTCATGTTGTAGTTTCACAATGATCTTTCATCTTGTTATTGCAATCCTCTGGTATTAAGGAAAAAATAATCCTAGCGTCCCTCACCACAAACTACTCCTCCATATTCACCTGCAGGCTGTGATTCCACAATTACCACAGAAAATAAAATCCAACTTCCCATCAAAAGCTCTCCTTAGAAAATACTCTTGTGCTTGACAACAGAGTATTGTCAAAAAAATACTAATAATTTAAAAACATTCTTATACCATATTTGGTTGCTTGGTACATGTAGCATTAAAAACCCTCCCCACAATGCTCAATACAAAGACATTCTGTATGTCAACAACACACAGACACACTATCTCGACTGAATGAAGAGTAACAGGTTTGTTTTGTAGCCGTGTGTTGGGATGTTTGAGCTATAAGCAGGAACGGAAAATCTCCATATAAGTCAAACAGAACAGGCAAAAGTTTTGGCATGTGCAGGATATAACAAACATGTTTACAGTAAGTGTTTAGAGCTGAAATGTGCAACAGTGTTACATTACAATTCTGGAATGACTATGATACTGGTATACACAATAACAAAAAACTGAAAAAGTCCAAAGGCACAAGTGTCCAGTTGTTTTCACTGTAGGAGTTTCACATACAAATAGCTTAAGTGTGTGTTAACAGCCATCATCAGTGATAGAGCACTGAGATTAAGTACTGCATTATGTTTGGACACTTAGAAATGTTAAGTCCATGGACATTATAACTTAATTTGGCAATTCTTCTTTGAGAAAGACAGATGCTCTTTCTGTTTATTCTGTCTCATAATCAGGCACAACAGTTGGCAGTTCTGTCAAAGGCAATATTCAGACATGCTGGAAACAGGAGATAACATATAGAGTTAATATGGTTGCTTTAAAACGTATGTGTGTGTCTACAGTAGTGCATCCAAGTCCAGTTCTGGCAGAAGATCTCTCCAATAGGAGCAACTGCTGTACTCAGGACAGTCCAAAGCGGACGACGTGCTGCCCCCGATGGAGAGCATGGGGAAGAAATGTTCCACCAACTCACTGAGGTGGCTGTACCTGCAAAAAAAACAAGAACACACAACTGACTCAGAACTCCAGGAATTAGACATAAGCACAACTAAGATCAAACCTTTTGAAAATGTGCTGTTATAGTGAAATGTTGTATAAGTGGCTTCCCCATTGACCGAGCATCTGATAAAGAGAGCTGTATGTGTATAATGTTCATGCAATTAGGTTTTGCAAGTATGACTTCATTTTGTAGGCTAACCACAAAATTAAAACTCACTGGTTCCCTCGACTAAAAGACGATGGTATTTTTTTCCATGACATTTTGTATCGTTGCTAAAAAATAAGCTCTTTGGGAAAAATGGTTTAGATTACTCTTTACAAAATTACACAACTTTTTATGATTTTTGAAGCAATTGTCAGAAGTAAAACTAAATGAACAGACTACACCCCTGTCGCATGGTTTCATGTAACCACCAATGGGATGTTGTTTAATGGACACAAAATCCTCTATCGTCTCTCGAGTAAGCATTATTTTAAGTTTACACTTTTGCTTATTAACAAAACGTTCAAATGTCTTAAGCTGTTAAACACAGACCTTATTTCAGGCATCTAACCAAAACACATTAAAACCTAAATACATTGACTTTAAGATAAGGGAACTTGAAGTAAAAAAACGCATACTAATTTCTGGGTTTTAGGACTCATTTTCTGGTAAAATAATCCTAAAGAAAATGAGTGCAGGATAACGTGTGACTTCTCCGCCCATTCATTCAGTGACTTATCAGTATTTGTGTGGGTGTTTATGTCTGTGTTCTGTTGCACACTTACGAGGACTTATTGACTTTAGTCCTCTCCTGGATGAGCTCTCCTTTTGGGTTGACGGTGAATAACCTGGTGTCGGGCACCCCCACCTGCTTATAGGCAAACGCATCCTGACAAAAGAAAGGCAGCAAAAGAACAGTTACACACACATCAACTTCAGTGTGACTTTGAAGTATACCTGTGCACTAAAAAGATTGTTTGGCTGTATTAGCACTAATCCCTGATCATAAATCATTAACCAGTGTTTACTTTATCTACAAAAGCAAACCCCAGACCCACACATCATGTCTACCTGCTGGAGTACATTACAGGATAAAGATGAAACCATTTCAAACTAATGTGTTCTTTGCCTTTGTCCTAACTTGAATGGTTTCTTTATGTACACACAGTTTTGTGCTATGTTCTAAAACACTTTCAAACAGGCAACTAAGCTCCTAAACAACCTGATAAAAGATGTGTTGCTGAAAGTGGTGGCGTTACCAATTTATGCTCAAAGACTATATTTAGTATGATAAGGAAAAATGCTACACATGGGTTGTGATGGTCTATAGTATCTGACAGTCTAACTTTGATATTTTGGGTTCAAATTAAATTAAATTCAGTGAAAAATTGTAAATAATACTATAAGTATGTGGACATAGCTTTGATATTCATGTTGTTATGAGTTCATAGAGACCACATACTCGATTTAGCTCTTTGTTGTTTCTCTGAGATACAGACATTTTAAAATAATTCTATAATTAATATTTGGGCACATTGTAGTACTGTTTTTTTTCTTTAAAAACAATGTCCAAACAGTTTGACTGATTTTAAGAATTCTGCTAAGTCAAGCCCAGAGAACATGACTTACAAACATAGGAAATATAAACGTTCAGTATTGGGCAGAAATGGGTAAGAGACATTCTGCAGCGCTGCTTACGTTCGTCCTGTTTCCGAAGGCTGCGTAGAAGGGCTGCCTCTGGGGGTTGAACAGGTCCCTGATGTCACCCAGACAGGCAATTTTAAACACCTCCGGCTTCTTCTCTATAACCTCTCTGCAAAGAAAGAGACGGATAGTTTAAAGTCAAAATGGACCTCTGTTCAAGAAGTGTTTGTTTCCTTGCATACGTTAATGCATATTATACAGTGTAGTGACTGAGCAGAGTAGCTTCTGTTTGGTGTAGAGAAGTGGCCACTAGAGGACAGCAGTACATTGGTTTTCAAACATAAACACTTTTCTCAAACAGTGCAGAGCTGTGATACTTAACTCCCAGACACAGTATGTCTTATCTGTTTTTATACAAATCAGTTTTTAACGGTACAGTGTATTAGTAGGACGGTCCCTGTGAAGTAGTATTTGTTACCTGTGTAGTGCTGAGAAGAGACTGCTCGGGGCCAACAGCACGGGGCCCTGAGGAAGGACTATGCCTTGGTCATTGACCCACTGAAGGTAGTCCTTGGTGATGGCAGCCATACCTATGGCCCGCGCTGAACAGTACAGGAACTTATAGCCATTTCTGCAAGAACAGAAGCGACCATATTAGCATTTTAGTTTCATAAAAATAAGAAGTTTTCCACTTCTGCTTGTAAATGAGTTGACCTACAGCATTAAGCACGTTCTTCAGAAATAAGTAATATATCGTGAATTGTGCAACATAAGAAGAACCTTTAATAAAATAAAAACAAATTCAATTAACAGCTTGACTAAATTCCCATATGAAACAGGGAAACATCTGGCAACGCAGATTAGGCACTCCACTGCCAACAGCATGACATCAGAATTAAATCATCTGCATGAACACATTTGAGCTGTTCAGCTTGTTATGTTGTAGTGAGTACTGTGTGTTAAAGTTCAGTAAGAGAAATTGGTTAAAAGGAAAAACCTGTTAAAGACAATGACGCTTTTAAAAAAGTAAACAGTCATTTCACATACTGGTGTATTTTGTGGTAGAGTTTTGCGATGCCTTTGTGTGTCCAGTCCTTTCCAAACTGAGGTAGAATATGACCCAGAGCATCAGACCTGCGGGAGAAAGTCAGTAAAGATTACTATATTTATATACATTTGGTATAAACGTATGTTCAAACATTGATCTAGTGTGCATCTTTCATAATGAGCAGGAACTATTATTGCTCTGTGTGTATTGAGACATCTAAACTGCATAGTGTGTATAGAGAGGCAGTTGTTTTTACTTGGTGATAGTGCCGTCTATATCTGAAATGATGACTCGATCGCCCCAGTTCCACAGGTAGATGGCAGCCTCACAGCGACAGGTGCCTTGGTACTGTGTGGTCACACTGAACACCACCTTGTTGGCCCCCTCGCGCAGGTTGAGGTGCTCCTGGTAATGAGAAAGGATAGAGTGAGTTCGGAGTACAGTATACAAAATGTTCATCCTATTGATAAATTAGATAGCAGTGAAAGTAAACAAAAAGTGTATGTGGGTGTATGAATTTGTGTCTCTTACTATCTGTTCAGAGGTCAGACGCAGTGATTTGCGGTAGATCTGTGTGATACTCTGAGTGGCATTAAGGGTTTCTGTTGATAGGCCGGCAGGAAGCATGGCTTTTCGGCCGAGGCCCGCCCGCTCATCACTGTCGATGTCATCCAGTGTGGCTCTGGAGAAGAAACAACACACATCAAATCAAGAATTTATGGTTTGTATATGTTTATATTTTCTTATCACAGCGCATTCTTTTTATCTGAACAAGACCTACATGGCAATAAAGAAACATCTCAGAGAGTTTTGATACACTCTGGTGGCACAAAGGGGAACTACATGATGAGTTGGATCAAATCTTGTTGAGGTGACTTACTTTACTGTGGAAGAAACAGTTGCCAGTGGCTCCTCTTGTTCCTCCTTTGAGTCCTTTTGCTAAAAACAAAAGGAAATGAAAATATAAGGTATATTCTAACAACAACAAGGTCAAGTGTCAATGGTCATTTAGACAAACAGACACATTGCGTCTGGACTAAACCTTTAATGACTTTCATCTCTACCATCCGTAGTATTCTTGGGTCTACGTGGACAGAACGTAAAACTAACTCTAGCTAAGTAGTGGAGATCACAGCATTTCCTTTTTGTATGTTCAACACTTTCAAACTATCACTCACCATCATAACTACATGTTTTAAGGCATGAAAGTACTTGAGAATGTACCTGGCTGTCGTCCATTTGTCTCCTCCTCCAGGAGAACCACCAGCGTCCAGACTTTTTGGGCATTTTGTCCTTCACCAGCTGCTCTATCGCACTCTGAATGACAAAGGCACGCAATCACACAAACAAAAAAAGGCAATGATTATATACATCCTAAAGTCACATTCACCGGCTAACAATGATCTTATCTGACCTGAGGCCTGTACCACGAAGCTGGATTTTCGCTTAGCCGGCTAAATTCAGGGAAATCTCGGGCTTTCCGGTCCTACGACGCTGGTTCTCTTTTTAGCAGGCTAGATTTCCATGGTAACTTATGCTGAGTGGCAAACCTGCTCCGGAGCAGGTTAGGTGGCAGGCTAAGAGATCAACTCAGTGAAAGCACTGCCTGCTGACCAATCAGAGCTCCGTGTGCGGAGTTTAAAGCGATCAATTCATATGACAGGAGGAGAAAGGAAATACAGTTTAAACTGCCGTTGCAGGAAAGACGACCGGCCAAAATCAACTGACTGTGTGAACGTGAAAATGAATAGAATATCCCCTCCCATCTTCAGAGCAATCTGACTATTATAACATTAGCGTTAAGAAAGCTTACTTAAATATCTGCCACGACATAAGTAACCGGATCAAAGTAACATTAAGTACAGTCCGAGGCACTGTGAGTGCAGACGTAGATGTGTCCCATTATCATTCATATCATAATGTATCATATATTTCCTTATTTGAGTCAGCTTCTTGAGCCGTATCTGGCCGTGCAACACTCACAGTGTCACATACTGTATGCAGAAGTATTATTTTAAGCAACACATTAAATTGACGAAACACTCGAGTCAAATTCTCCTAATTAAAGTCCGATCCACTCGTGTCTTGGACGGGGCAGTGATATCATAAAACCTGTTAATGTACGCATTCAAACACTTTTTCTTTTACCAGCTGTATTCACCTTGCAGGTGCAGCTATGTGGCTTTTATCCTGGGTAAAGTGTTTAAGTCATGGATGTTTAAAGTTTAACTTCCTCATATTTGACTAATATTAAAGTTCACTTTTCATTCAGGAAGTATGACGCTGCGCTGTCAGTATGCTTCTCCGTGTTTGAGATTGGTCGAATGCTCCAAATACCACCCCTTTCATGTGAACGCGCACCTAACTAGATAGGACACGGCGGCTTGAGCGATCCACTTGATATCCAGCGTCGTAGTACAGCTTAGCGCCAGCGCGTATGTTTTGGATTACGCCAACCGGCTAACGCCAACATATCCAGGTTAAGTTGAACCAGCTTCGTAGTACAGGCCTCTGGACTATAAACTTGTGAATCAATAACAAAATAACTTGGTTTTAAGCTTGTATGAGGTTTGTAATTATGTTTTACTAACATCATTCATATCTCAAATGTTTTGTTTTTGATGTCTTGATTTCTTTCTTTTCCCTCCTATTTGATGTTTCTCATTGTAATGAGGCCACACCTCAGGCCATTATGATTATCATTTATTATGCTGATGACATTTCTCACTGTGCTTTTATTAAAATAATTTGTATGTTTGCTGAGATATACATAGATATCTTGCTACATGATTGTATTAAGGTGATGTTACTGTCACCCATGGAGAGATGTATGTTATATGTGCAGTAGCCATTCTGCACACATTTGTGTACGTATGCGGGTTTATATTGTATGTATGTTATGTCTGAATGTTTACAAAAATAAAAAGAGTACTAAAAACAAAAATATCTCTAGTGTCTGGAAACACTAAAATACCTTGGGTAGGCTTTTCTGGAACGTTGTCATTGACAAGACCATCGGAGCAGCAACGGCCCAGTTATAGTAGCTGTGGACCAATCATTGACATGACATGTTTAAAAAGGACTTGTGATTTAAGAACTTCCTCCTAAAAAATACATACAGTGTAACAAATACATTTGTAATGCCAATTGTATAAGTAAACAACCATCTAACTCCAGATCTTACTTGGAGTTGATGCAGATCACAAGGTTTGGATCCTCAATGATTCCTGGATTGTTGGCAAAATCCAGGTAGGTCACGATGTGCTCCATGAACTTCTCTGAATTAAAGGAAAAATCGACATGTGTCAGATTTGACTTCCTGACCCAGTACAGACTGCAGACAGACCAGCATCCTCCACTCTGACTCACCTTTAGTGATTTGGCTGGTGTCTCCCACCTGTCCGCAGAGGGACATGCTGACGTCCATGTTGTAGGAGGTGGAGTCTGACAGGTACTCTGTCCCGCTGTCCATGGCCCCGCTGCCCACCGACTGAGGAGACTGGCTCCCCGAGCAGGAGCCCTGCTCCCCCCCGAGCTGAGACGCCCCCTCTGTCTCACTGCAGAAGACAATTTGTCAACACTTCATAGACAGCGCAGAACAGTCTGATTTTCTAGAACACTGTTGATTTTTAATTATACTTTAAAAGCAAAAACGTTTTATTTTTTTCTACTTAAATAATCCTGCATTCACTTCATCTTTTACTGATATCGGCACATTTGAATAAATGTCCTCTGATTGCATCATAAAAGATCTATGATGTTTCAGGGACTGTGATGAATTTAAATAAAGAGCCCATACTAATGATTGCTTAAAATGCAGTGTTAGTTAATTTGACCATCATACTATTTGTGAAGAAGTCTTATGTGTTTACCTCTTGGGGAAGTAGAGCGCAGCCACCTCGGGTTCCAACTTGGTCAGATCATCCAAGTAAATACCTGTTTGTCCGAGATGGTGATTACGTTTACCTGAAACAAAATGACAAATCAATCCATGAGGAGAGCTCACATAAAGGAGACCCTAACCCTAACCCTGTTTTACCACAAGGTCTGAAGTTAGACACACCTATAACATAATTTATTAACATAAATAAGAGAGTTTAATACAATCTGTCACCTTTCTTCTTGTCCTCCACTTTGGATGATGCCTCGGAAGGGTTGGCTAATCCCTCGGTTATGTTTGTCAGGGAGCCTCCTGCTGGCCCTTCAGTCCCTGCAGCGTCCTCCTCCCCCCCCTCAGCGCAGGGGTCTATCCCGCTGTCCCCCTCGCTGTTGGGGGCACTGCCGGTGGAACCCTGTTCACTTTGCTCCGATAAGGCACCCTGCTGTGGTGGATTTAATACCTCTGTACTACTTGGACTTGTTGATGTAACTGTGCAGTCGTCGCTCTCTTTAATGAGTTGTATTTGTGTGTCGTTTGGTTTGGTCACACTATCAGTGCTGATGTGCTCAACACTGATGGTGATTTCTTTGCTAGCAGGAGAATCTGTGCCATTAGTTTGATTATCTAAACATGAAGGTGAGTGTCTGTTCTCCTCTTCCTCTAATGTGGTCCCTGTCGCCTGTGCCGAGTCCACATTAGTCTTTGCTGATTCAGAGAGGTCGGTGGGGGTGGAATGGGCCATGTGAGAGTTATTCTCCAAAGAAAAAGGTGGGGTCTGCATAGTGTGGTTACTAAGGTCTAGGGACTGAGTCCTGGGCTGTGGCCGGACCACTGTGACACTGCCCACCCTGCCACAGCTGATCACAGGCTCACAGCTCATGTCAAACGAGTCCTGTCTTTCAATGGTGCGGAAATGAGAACTGCCAGAAGGGGAGATGTGCTGTAACTCCACTGGTGTCCGCTCAGATTGACACAGCTGTGAGGGGGAGGGCAGAAAAGAGCAATTTGAGACAGTGTGTCAGCATGACAATCTCACATTTACAGCATGACATCTAGATCTGTGTGTGTGTGTGGGTGTGTGTGTGTGTGCATGTGCGTGTGTGTGTGTTGGCGTACCATGGGAAAACCTCCCCAGTTCCACTGCATCTGAGGCCCAGACGACTCTTTGGGTTTAACTAAAAGCTCGGAGTCGCTCTTAGGAGAACATGAGCGGCTGTAGAACACATTGCTGTAAAAGAGAAAGACAAATAGAGAAAAATAAACCATTACTGAAAGTGAATAAACAGTATGACGTTATCTCTGTCATCTTACACTGACTCAACAGCTGTGCGGCTGCTCAATGCAAACAAGTCAATACATGAATGAATCCGTTGTAAAGATGAACCTTCCTCACCTTTCTGAGGGTGACTGCTCTCCGTCTGAGTGTGGATGAGTGTCTCTTGTCTGTGTGGCCCCCAGATCATCATTTGGCTCCTCAGACAACGAGTAATATACTGACTTACTATAACACACATATGAAAGAAGATATTTTTCCACTACTGTGTCAACTTTGAAGGTGTCAACTGTCAACATTGAGAAACATGATACCCTGTAAAAGGTTGCTCGTATTGACATTACAGTATGTAAATATCAGCTGCTTTCTATAGGAGCTGTACTCCAGAACTTAATAGTGACTAGAATACAACAATAATATGCCGTGTTTACAACAAAGAAGAAATGATAAGAAGAAATGATTTAAGTGTATATGTAAAAGCAATGTTATTTCAATCAAGGTTTGTCGATGAAGCTCTTTCCTCTTTTTGAATCACTAACCTGATTTGCAATGGTGTGAGGGGCTCGTCTATAGCAGGGCTTTCCCCCCCGGCCGGATCACTTTCTCTCTCCCACTCCTTCTCCCTTTCTCTCTCCTCTGATGAGGAGCTGGCCTCTTCTCTCAGGTGAGTATCAGACCGCATGCGTTTGCGACGGCGCTTCTTCCTGCGGGCACCAGACCCGGTGATGGAGGCTCCCTCGGGGGTCTCCTCCATCTCCTCAGGGTCCTCAAGGGGAATTGGGGAGGTGCACAGATGGGCTGGGACTTGGGACTGATGAGGATAACAAAAGAGTTAAAGATAACAGACTGATGCAATGTTGCCAAAGAATTGAGAAATGGTCATCGAATGTCCGTCATCATACCTCCTCGTTTTCATTTTCCACCACAAAAAAAGCTTCTCCGTTGTCGCCCAACTTCATGTGCAGGTTAACTGATTCTCCGTTGATCTCAATGTCCACCTGAAGACACAGTGATGCATGCCAATATGTCAAAGAATTCCCAGTAGCAGAGAGCTTTATCTATCATATTCTATTTACATGTATATAGACTTCTTGCACTATTTTCATTGCCATTTCTACAGTAGCTTATGTGCATATGACAATGAAACCTTTGATTCTTGAATCTTTGAGCTATGACGGCAGTGGCAGTGAACGTAATTAAGACACTTACAATTTTCTCCTTGGAGCGCAGCACACCCAGTTTGCCGAAGCGGACGTGAAAGGGGGAACACTGGAAGGATCCATCAGGCTGTCGCACCACGATGACATCGATCCCCCCGGTCAGAGTGGCGGGGTTCAGGCCGCGGTACAGCTCCTTCACCGTCACAAACACCGTCTCCGCAAACTGGCCCACAATATTCATGGTTTGGGACTGGAAACACACACAAAAACAGGAAGGGAGAACAGTTGAGGAACAAAAAGTGAAAACACTGAAAGTCATTCAGTGTTTTCAGCCGTTTGCGGTTTCATCCTTCACTTTTTCTTACATTGTCAGCAAGCAACAATGTCATTTGTTTAGAGTAAGCTGCTTTCATGGGATTATAACTTCTCATTCCAAAGGTTTGACAATTAACCTGTTAAGCCCCAAAGCCCCCGTCGGCGGGTCTTTTTTTTTTCTCACAAATTAAAAAAAAAAAAAAACGTTTATCTTTTATTAATTTTTTTTATTTAATTTTTTTTCTTTGGATGGAATGAATACCTATGGTGATAATTCAATGTAATACATCATTTGTATAGTCTGGTACCTGAAAAAGGTCAAATGGCATTGATGGAACCAGATGTACCCAAATGTGCCGAAAGCTTATTCCGCCTGGAACTTATTTTTGCTAAACCTCTCTAAAAAGGTCAAATATAACTTGTTTTGCCTCAATCTTGATACAGGGTACTTATTATATGTTATAGTTTGGATTTCTAAAGCTTTTAGTCTACCATCCCATCATTCAAGGGTGGTTTTCACTATAAGTAATGTTTTTTTCTTTAGGCGGAGGTAAGAATTTACCTTTTTTTACTATGTTCCATCTGAATTTACTCTGACTGAGAAAAATCTATATTGATTCTGACACTTCTACATCCAACTCACAGATGTAACCTTGCTTTGATAAAAGAAATTATTCATATAACCGTTTTAGAAGTGAAGTTGTAGTCATTTGTTTTGGGCATGTCATTTTCGAGCCTGAAACCTGAAAAACAGGCTCGGGGCTTAACAGGTTAACCAATACATAAAGCAGGTGACAGTAACTGTTAAAAGACTTAATATGGCACAATCGCCTGACATCAAACAGAGTTTAAAAGCTACTTAAATTCATATCAAAAGAGTTGAAGTCATTTCAAACCTTTCCACCAAGCTGCTCCAACAGAAGAATGTCCCATGAATGATTGCGAAAGGTGTTTGTAATGTTTTGGCTAAACAATATTGACCTTTAGAACCGGATCTTGATGGTGACAAATAGGTTAAAGTTTAAGAAGATGAGATCTATCAAAGACACTTATCTACAGGTTAGACCCTTTAAGATAACGGGAACTACTGTTGTCATTATCTTAACCTGGAGTGATATGTGAAAAGTTTCATAAGCTGGAGTTCTGATTAAATGTACATGAACACATCACTCATTAAGCCACACGTACACGTCGTCACACGAATATGAGATAAGAGGACTTACATTCTGGCTCATTTTCAAAGTTAGCTCATCAAAAAAAGGGAAAACACAATTCCTTCCATACCCTTTTTGCCTCAACAGGCCAGAACATGACTAGGAACAAGTAGCTCTAGGAACTCAAGAAGTCAAACATGCCAAAGGCTACTGAAAACATCCCATGTGGCATAGTTGGCCCTACATCAACATTGAACGAGCGTCAAAGTGTCTTCTGTTGGATTTAGAAACAAATATTTTACCTCAAGGAGCTCCTGTCATATCTAGATAGTGCTTCTTTAACGATATAACAGCATAGAGTGTTATTACCTGGTAGTAATTAATTCACTGTAATATTGTGATTGTACAATATATTCTTAAAAAGAGCTAATACACACAATGTGAGAGGAATCAATTGAAGTATTGTTGAAACAACTCAGCAACCAAGGTAATCACAATGGACTAGATTTCTCAGACTCAACTGAGCTTTAGAATTACAAATTGAGTTCTGAAAACATAAAGAGTGACGCACGCCAACACAATGAATCACCCCTGCTGAGTCACATCTGTCCAAAGTCTACATTACACATCTGACGTTGTCTTACCCACAGTGAAGGATGCAGATGTCCCCTCCCAACCAGGCTGCGTTTCCTTGACCTCCTTTCTGCCATACGACACCGCTACAAAGACTTTTCCCACCACTGGAACTCAGGAACAGTCTCAAGAAACTGTACCTCCATTCCCAAGAAAGCTGAGGCTGCCTCACAAGGCTACGGCCACTTCACCTATCTGTCTGTAGATGTAAGGCTACATTTTGTTAGATGTAGCTACAAACGTTTTTACAGACGAGCTGCTAAGCTATATAGGACTCCTTCGATCAGTGGTCATTTGAGATGACAGCGCTCTAGTTCTTTGTGCTTTAAGCTCGGGACGTAAAATATGGCAATCTATGAGAGAGTCCTGGTATATTCAGTCACCCGCCAATGCTTCCTCTATCTCACACAATTTCACAAGCACACCATCCTGTCATACCGAATTCATACTTCCCCACTTGCACTGCACATGACAGCCAGACCAGCAGTTTCTGAAAGGCTCGGACAGGCTATTCAAAATACGCTTGGCATGAACACACACAAACTGATCGGCCACACAGTTTCTGGGCTTGACCACAGCTCTCTGGGCCATCAAACATGGAGGGACTCTCCGGCAGTCATGCTATACCAAAACTGGAAAATCCTTCATAGGCCAAGACAATTCATGAGGAAGTCAAGCAAATATGTTGCAAATTGTGATGGAGACCATGGAAGAGGACACGACAGAAAGGTAGGCTTGAATTGAAAAACAATGTGTGACAAAAAGTGATTAGTTGAAATTGCTATTTAGCCTTGCTGTGCAGGTAAAAAAAATGAAATAAAACGGCCTTAATGTGGAAGACATAACAACACTAATGTGAAAAAAGGGTAGACTTCTAATGAGAATAACCTCTTTCTGTGCCTATGCAGGCTTCTGTATCTGTATTTGATTTGAAACTGCCATGTCAGCTGTTTTAAGCAAGTTGGAATAACAATAGCCCGCAGCAAACAATGGCATTGAGACACGACTAAATGTAGGGCAGCAGACAGATGACAGGAGGGGGAGAGGAGGGGGTTCATAACTGATGTACAAGTATCACATGTTTTCATAAATAGCTATATCCTATTACTTAAGTATTCAAACATATTCCTCTACTTATCCCTCATGTGTAAATTGGCAAATGATGTTGACAGAGCTGTAATCCACCATTGTTTTCATTATTTGTTTGTGTAGATTCTTAAAATGTGTTGTTAACTAGGTTTTGTCTATAAAATGTCAAAACAAAGATTCAAAAGCCCAATGTAAAATGTTTAAATGTTGACATTAATGACATACATAAGACAAATAAGTACACAACCATAGCTAGAAATTAGTAGCAGTTATTTCAGTAAACTCAGTGACATACATGGCATTGAAGTACTGTGACCTCAAATGAATATAAGTTGGCACATTTACAAAAAAGTATGTCTACATTAAAGTGATTATAGCGCCGTAGAATTGCAGATAGTGTTTATATTGCACATTGCAGGTGTATTGCACAGGATGGCAACATTCTTTATTGTGTCTAAATAGTTGTTGTCATTAACAAACTTTTCCAAATGTGCCTTAGGTTTACCAGTTTCCTAATGTTAAGAAACACACAAATGTGAAGAGAGGCCCCTTTGTTTTACTGACCTTTGCCTTCAACAAGAAACAGACACACAGGGGATTTGTAATTTCATTGCAATGTGTTCAGCAAATATGTCACAATCTCCTAACTACTTAAAAAAAAACTCAAAAAGTCTAATTTAATTATATGTATTCCCATCACTGGCACCACTGAGAAACTCATTTTATAATAGACTTTGTTAGCATGACTTGAATGTGTTGCTATACAATACATACAGCTAGAACAACACTACAAGACATTTTTTTTTTTTTAAATGGAACATTATTTATCGTCCATCACTTTCCATATAAATCCTGTATACATCTACACATGTGCATACATGATCATACAGTAAATGCACTGTATATCCATTGAGTACAAAGTTTACAACAATCAGAAACGTGTATATAGACGATATATTTGTATTGTTTGATTTATTGGTGATTTATTCTGAGAATTTGTATAGCCTACTCCTATTTGTTTCCACATACTTCTGTATTTGTTCAGCGGGGTTGTCCTGGTTCCTAGATGTGATGTGTATAATTGAGTAAAAGCAATGCCTAAAGTCAAATTCCTGTCGAATAAAGCTAATTCTGGAACCGAAACAACTTCCGCAACAGCTTTACGTGTCACCATATGGCACAATACACTGTTAGCTTCTTACACTCCCAACACTAGCAAATAGACACATGTACTCTACGTTTATTGTTAATTAAAATATCTTAAAACTGCAGAAATGTGCCCTTTATGACGCAGCTAAAGCCACGTAATCACCGTTCAGAACTTCATTATAATTTGCTTTGTTTTACAGGGAAGTCTGTCAGTGGCGAAACATTACAACTTCTCTTAAAACGACGTGTAAGTTATAGCAAGTAAAACTCATCTTAAGAAAGGCACATTATTCTGTTTAGTTAACTTATATCAAGACTGCTAAAGATGTTACAGACGCTATATTGTTCCTACGTGGATGCTGAGAGAGTGTAGAGCGTAGTTTACCTTTGGAGTCGCTTTTCAGATTAGGAAAATAACAGCCATCCTGGTTATGGCTAGAAAGGATCCGTCTTGTGTAAAGCTCTCGCGAGAGTTTGCAAGTCACGTGGCTGAATGTTGTTTACGTTTGGCAGGCAGCCTTTCAGTTACGATCGTTAACATCAGTGGGCCACAGCAAATGATGGTGAGAAGCTAAACTATCTATTAATTATGTCAATTACAGGGAGTGTGATTGTTGAAATAGGGTGTTAGCGGTCTTGCTGTTCAAAGAAGAATGACAACAACATACAACATACAAGCTGTTAATAAACTTTTCAATCACAACACTGTAGATCACCAACACTATGGTTTATTTAGTATTCACAGGCAAGTCAACGTTGTCGCAGTAAAAGTCCCAAGATAGCTCCTGGTGCAATACAATGTTCCCTTTTAGTATTTTACTATTATGTCTGATGTTTTTCTATTAATATTGCTGCTGCATTAATGTGTATGTTGCATGTTACTGCTGTAGATGTGTTTACCTCCTTGATATCCCGTTGGGTAGTTTAATCTGCAGCAATGCATGATATTCTATAAAATCATCATGTAGCTTTGTCTCTGTCCTGTGAGAACCACGTATCTTTGAAAAGTAAACTTTTCAAGAGTTCCTCAGAAAAACAGCTGTTTTCAGCTTTGTGAGGATGCATTTTCCAGCTGATCCAAGAGGCTTTTTAAACACCTTACTTGGCTTAAGAAGGAGGGGAATTTTCTCAAAACATAAAGGAACACTTTATCCTTCAGTTTATCACAAACATTCAACATCAACACATTTGGAGATACGTGGTTTTCACTGGACAGGAAGGGGATGACAAACTGTAATCTAAAAAGTAACTAAAGCTGTCATGTAACTAAATGTAGTGGAAGTAGTATACAATGGAAATACTCAAGTAAAGTACAAGTACCTTGAATATGTACTTAAGTAGCCTCGGTATTAGAGTAAATGTACTGACTGCTTTGTGTACCAATATCTCATATTAAGAGGCAAACTAACAATGTAACTAAGGATTGTGTATTTCATTTGTTGATTTAGCTATATGATGATTTACTAAAATAAGGAAAAGTTCCAACATCTAAATCAAAATAAAGTATGCAAAAGTACCAGACACAGGAACAGTAAATATCACACTGACAGACAGCTGTATATATTGTGTATATATATAGATAGATAGATAGATACATAGATATATATATAGATACAATTGTATATATATATTAATATCTGTACACAGTAGTCAATGTTTATGTTTACTTCATTCAGCTTTGTTGTCCTTGTTTTTAGCTGTTGTTTATTTCTATGCAGTACATTGAGAGTTAGAAAAAACAGTCAAACACACTTGTGTGTATGTGTACACACTTACTTGGCCAATAAAGCTATTTCTGATCAATCTGAATTATTTCCCCATGTCATTTGAATACAAAGCTATTTTATGAAGACCTGGGTCAGGTTATTATTTTCTTCTTTCCATTAAGGTTTTTATCTCCACTTGTCCCCAGCAACCATTCTTTCCTCTTTAATTTGTCTCATCACTACTATTGTTGGACGCAACTGACATTGCACAATTACTACTGAAACTACCACAGTCGCTCTTGATTCACTTATTTGCTTCAGCACTAACATTGTTTCACCACTAGCATTTTGTAGTTTATTGACTGAACATTAGTAATCTGTCTCTGTTGTTTGCATTTGCAGTTCTGTGTGACATCCTAATTTGAATCCAGTCTGTAATTAGATTTATATTAAGGTTTTAATAATGAAATGAGGTCATGAATCGAGTTCAAGGTTAAGATCATCTTTATTATCCTAAGTACAAAAATGAACATACAACATTAATATAACAGTAACGAATAAAACAAAATAACATTATGCAACTCTAATCTTCTTGCTGATACTTTTCAAAGTGACTTTTACATTTCCTCTACTTCCCCTGCTACTGTTTGCACTGCTTTCAACTTCTCTTTCAACTCTGCTCCTTACTCCGCTTTCCCTGTTTCCTTTGTTCTCCTCTCCTCCTCTCCTCCTCAGACTCTCCTCCTTTTGCTGTTTGCTCCCATATCCTCTCCTCTCCTCATCTCCTACTCAGACTCTTCTCCGTTTGCTGCTTTTGCTGTTAGATAGTTAGACTGTAATGACAGCTTATGATATACTTTTTATAACTACATCAATCACATGCAATGCATAAAAAAAGTTGTTTTACTTACCACCTCTTTACAGCTCCATTAATCTCCAAGCTTCCGACATTCACCTGGCGGTGGTGCCTTAGATGAAAACAACTTGTGATATGATACAATGCAACAAAAATAGTTAACACCTATCCACAGCAATAAGCACAATGAGAGGACAAATGGTCTTCTCTTTTATACCAATTTATATTGGAGACAACATACAACTTAATGTGAAATGAACTGTGCCATGTCACATAGGATTGGAATGGATGATTGGCTGTGTTGTGTGAATATAAAGGTAGGCAACTGTTGCATAGCACAGAGGAGATGGCAAAAGTAAATATACTTTTTTCTTACCTAAAGCATCTCCCCTCCTCTTCATACCCCTGCCTGCTCCTCCCGCATTAGACTCTGGGGACTTAGCTTATGAAATCTTGTTCAAGCTGTCCACTCTGTGGTTGGACCTCATGACCTCAGCTTTATGGCCCACCCGGCCTGAAAAAGGGTGTCTACGAAGGCTGGTACTAAGAGGTTTTATGGTCCTCTCCTGCCTTTTGTGTTTGGGGGGCATGAAGGTGAGAGGAAGACAACTGTCATGTGGGGTGTGTTGCTTTACGTCCTCCAAAAGATAATGTAGTCTTGATATCAACGTACACATGAACGTCTCATCCTGTAGGTGGTATGTGTGCTCAGTCATTTCCCGCGATAAGGTCCCACACTGCTGTCGTTTCCTATCTCTTGAGGACTTTGAGTGGTTACCACTGTTCTTGGAATAGGTTTCCTCCGTGCCGACAGGGGTGTTGGGGATTTAGTTAGTCTAGGTTTCTTTAATATAACAAAAAAACACATGAACCTATAAAACTAATAAATTAGTAAATAAATTAACTAATTAAATAATCAAAACTTCAGTGAGGCAGCCATGCAACCAGCCAACAATTACAAAAGAGAAATAAAATAACTTGTATATTCAAGTAAAATGCAGTCTCACATGAGAAAAGCTGTCATTCCGTCATTCCTTTTCACAACATGATTATTTATTTGCCTTCTTTTAGTCAACCTTTGAAATGTCTGACAGTTTAAAAGCTAACATCAATTATAAACTCACCTCTTTTGCCAAAACATCTGTCCTTCTTTGTTGATACAAATTTGGTCTTTGTTTCCTCTTCATATATGCTCAAACTATTCTTTACTTTAAATGTTCGAGACATTTAAACTGACAAACTTGTCTGTCACCCATCCATCCTTCCTCTTCTCAGACCCGCGATTGGCCGATTTAATCTTATTCTATACTTTTTATAAATAGCATAACTGGACAAACAACTTAAATGACACATTTCAGAGAGCTAAAATAAAAACTGTGATGAGGCTCTTTTTCTGCAACACTAATCATTTTGAGATTTTTTTTTACACCATGAACACTAAAACTAATTTGCATTCGTACAATATGTGCCTTACAAAATAACATGCCAGACCAAACTATTTCACAACAACCCTCCCATATGTTAGCCCCTTATCATCGTCCAGGGATTGTTTTTTTTAGTATTCCAGAAATGAAAAGTATGGCCCAGCAGAGGGCATCACTGCACCTTCACAGAGCCTCCTTTCTTTGCCTGAAACTTCAATTTATGCCATCTATTTTTAATAATAAAATAACAATATTCTACCATTTCTACTGTTCATTTTTAACAAAAAAGCTAAGGTAAGCTGCATATCTTAACCAAATAAAAAAGAATTGCTGCTTAAGTGGTAGTTCTGGTATTTTCTTAATGCAGTGAAAAACAGATGCATGACACAAGCATAGAGACATTTCTTCAATTGTAATCTGTAAAGTTATTGTTTAATGGGCAGAAGGTTTGCCGTTTGTATCAAATAACTTCATAATAATCACTCCAACAAAACAACTTATTATACAATTAAATACTGAAACATATTTGATGAATTATACACTCATAATGGCTGGGCGGTTCCTAAATCATATTATTTGCAATTAAAGTAAATACCCAACCCAAAAGACACACAGGAATTATGTGTTGCCCAAAAAACCGGAGAGGAAGATGTATCACATGAATTCATACAATCGAAATGGCAAGAACTTTTTATTTTAATGTCATTTTTTTTTTTTTTCTCATACTGATATTCTGAACAAACTGTGCTGTTGTATTAGCTGTAAAATGTCTTTACTGTAGGTTATTTTTATTATTTGTACAGCACTTTGGCTCGACCAAAAATCGTTTATAAATGTGCTATATAAATAAAACTTGATTTGATTTGATAATTACCTGACACTTTCGCAATATGGTGTTTCTTACACTCTTGCCAATTCACATTTTTTAATTTATTGAGCGCAATGACAACATCTTGACAGGCTTACACTAAAAGTGAAAAGCATTTTTGTCAGAAAAAACATTTGGCTAAAAAAGAAACATCTTTTTTTACACTGAAATGTGTCAAGTAGGTCTGTAGGTTTCTTTTATAGAACACGATAAGACAAAGTGTCTACAACCACAAAAACAGATGTTACCTCCATGACATAATTTAAGATGTTCCCTTCATGTGGGCCAGCCAAACTGCCTATTTAAGGAAAGCCACAGCCTTACAACAAAACACTGGCTTTCAAAACTGCTCTGCATCTGCTCACAACTCTCTTCCCCCATGTTTCCATACTCCACCAAACAGAGCCTCCTCTAAATGTTTGGGCCCTTCTCTCTAAATAAGGCAGCCTTATCGTAGTTCCTGTCATTTTGCCTCTTTCCAAACATCCCGAGCAGCGTCTGTGGCAT